CGGTTGGGTGAATTGTGCGTGAGCCTTGGGATTTACACGTTGGACGTCCAGGGAGTACCGCTGCTAGTTGGCATCAAAACCTTGAGACGGCTGCATGCAGTACTCGACTTCCATCGTGACGTGATAGTGTTCGGTGCCGTGGACCCGACTAAAGGGGTCCCACTCAGGCGGTCTCGTACGGGACACTTGCTGTTGGATCTGAGAGAGGACTGGATGTCTCAAGCCTTTGATTTGCTCCAGCCGCGAGCGGAGACCGTACTGATGGCCCAGCCTGAGAAAACAGAGTCCGCCTTTATGGTCACGGATGGGTCTCGGTCTGAAGCTGAAGGCCCTAAGGATGTGGAGGCCCAGAAGGTTGACAGTGGAGCAGAAGCCGTGCAAGTGTGCAACTTTGGTCAGCCTGCAGCAGGAGATTGTAGAGTTTCAGGTAGTGATCCCGCTCTTCTTGCGCATGAGTGTCAACTTTCTGATGCCGGGAATGCCACGGCCCAAGCTTCGTCAGCCCCACCTGGGATGAAGCCCTTCGCGATCCTCGCGACTCTCCTAGCTGCTCATGGCAACTTCCTTGGAGCCTCAGCCGACCGTGACCACCACGAACGACATGTCCCTGGCGGAGACGAACGGAAAAGGACGAGCGAAGCCCAAGGCCAGCAAGGAGAAAGCAATGCCTCTCGACCCATCTCGCACAGTGGAGGCCGATCCTCGCGACCCGAGGTTCGCTGGAGCTCCGTGCTTCAGTCGGCATGTTCCCGACCCTCCGGGAAAAGGGTCGAAGAGTGGGTCGAACCAACATGGACAGTGGACTCATTGCAAACAGTGCGGACTGAGACTCAGCTATGTCCCGCGGGTTGGCAAGCACGGACTGCGGCGCTCTCCGGGACCCCTTCCAGCGGATACCCAGGAGGCAGTGGATGGAAACCTACCGGACGTGGGCATCGAGAACCTGCGGGACAAGGAGATCGGCTGGGCTGCAGCCGAGAAGTCGGCAGAAAAATACTTGGCGCAGGTTCGTCACCAGAGACAGTCAGCTGTGGCGAAGACCCGCGGTGCTGCGGCCAAATCAACTCCTCGGCCGGTTTCTCAGATGCCCACCGGAACAGCAGCCGAGGGAAGCCCGGGAAAATCCTCAGCGTCAGACGAGTCCAGCCTGGTGGTCATCGACAAGGAGGATTTGGTGGCGCACCCGGGACGAAAAGCTGCGCGGCCCCACGAGAAGTCCGCAGAGTCGCACGAGTACGAGGAGAGAACCACGTGAACTTCGAGAACCTCGCAGAGTCGAACGAACAGAACTTCGAGAACCTCACAGAGTCGAACGAACAGAACGTCGAGAACCTGGGGGTCTTTAGTGATGAAGAGTTGCTCGAGACACTAGCCAGGTCCTTGTATCAAGCCAAGAGCTTTAGCATGGAAGCCATGGAGGAGGTCACGTCGTTGATGACACCCGTGCATGCCAGGACATCTAGGTCGTTCTCCAAGATCAAGGGCAAGGACTCAGCAGTGGTTCACTTAGGCATGTTCAGTCATGGTGCGATGAGTGGAGTCATGAATCAGACTTGGAGGTTCCCATGGTTGACTAGATACACAAATGCGTGGCTCCGAAGCCAGACTAAGATGGAGTCAGCAACATGGACATCTGTGGCTTTTTCAGTAAACACAGAGGCCCGACCACATCGTGACCTTCACAACTTGGAGGGCAGTCTGAATCACCTTGTGACGTTTGGGACCCATGAAGGAGGAGAAGTTTGGCTTAGAGCCCCCCCCGAAAGCCAAGGGGAGCAGAACGTCCTTTGGAGAAGGAAAGGACCCCATGGCCAGCTGATGACCGGAGAGATCCGGCCCACTTGGCATGAAGTGGTGGCCTTTGATCCAAAGAGTTGGCATGCCACTATGAGATGGACTGGACGAAGGGTGGCGCTGGCCGCCTACACCACTCGACTGGTGACGAAGGCCCAACCGGAGACCTTGGAAGACCTCAGAACCTTTGGCTTCCCATTGCCAAAGAAACCCAGCAGTATGTCTGGGTTCTTCCATCTGAGTGAGGAGCCTCCCCAGGATGAAGTGAAGTTGGAGGACCACGAGAAGGAAGAGATCCTGGCCGTCCTCAATGAGTACAAGGAAGTGATCCATGAAGATCCCGAGGAGAGAAAGGGCGGCTTCAATCAAGTGGTGGAGCTCGGGTCCCCTGGAGACTCTCAGCTTCGGATGAACCTGGAACGTGGAGGAGCTGTGGTGACCAGCGTATCCTTCAAGGAGGGATGTGACTTATCAACCCAAGCCGGGACCGAGCGCACCATTCGATTCCTTGGAGAGTTGAAGCCGCAATGGTTAGTGTGCCATCTCCCAAAGGGTTCAGGCCTGGATCAAGAGGATCCTCGAGCTGCACGAGCCCTCCTGAAGCTTCGCAAGGTGGCTCGAAACTTTCTGAAGGTTACCCGAGAGGCTATCTCCATTGGATGCAAAGCGCTGTGGATCCACCATGGGAGTGAACGTCTGGAACGATTCTCTGAAGTCAGAGAGTTTTGGAGGAGCTACCAAGATCACCATGGAGGTCAGGCAGTGCGATGTGGAGCCGTCTGGACTCGATGCTCGGAAGCTTCTGTGTTCCATGGAGTGCCGCACACGTCAAGTACTACAACCTCCCCCTGGAAACCCCTCGCGACTCAACTTCTAGATTCTCCAATGTTCTGCGCCGAGGTCATGGTGACGCAGGCGGAGAAAGAGATTTTGGAAACAATGGAGAAGAAGGAGCTTGAGGCTATGATGGAGCGAGTTCACAAGATTCATTGTCGACTCGGGCATCCGTCGAACCGCCTCCTGATCCGCAATCTTAAAGTGCGAGGCGCAGATCCGAAGTTAATTGCGGCGGCCTCACAACTCACTTGCGACCAATGCCAAGAAGGCAAGCGAAAAGCCCGGAGACCCATGGTTCAGACGGAGAAGTCAGAACGACTCTGGGAAGTTCTTCAAATGGACCTTTGCCACCACCGCATTGGCAATCAGATCCACCACTTCTTGGTGATGCAAGATGAGGCATCGGGGTATGCCGTGATTCGGCGCATCAAGGTGACGCCGGAGACTGAAGGATGGAATGCCTCATCCGCCGAGATCAAGGTGCTGGTGCAGGAGGCATGGTTCCAGTACTTTGGACCTCCATCCGTGATCAAGCTCGACGCCGAGGGTGCTCTACGGGGTCATCTGGTTACTGACTTGGCTGAGGAGCACGGGGCAGAACTACAAGTATGCCCAGCTGAGCATCATGAGTTCTTAAGTGAAGTGGAACGTCTGATTGGAGTGCTGAAGGTGAAGATCGAAACCTTCTTGAGAGGCAACCCCGTGGATCCCAATCAAGCTGCTCTGGCCATCATCCAGGCACACAACACGCATGCCAGAATCCACGGATTCAGCCCCCTTCAATGGACAATGGGGCGGGACTTTGATGCCGGCGGAGCCTTAGTTCCCCGACCTGGTGAGCTGGCGGCACTATCGGCATCGGCGACCCCGGGAACAGAGGCCTTCCAGAATCGGGAACTTCGTCTACAAGCAGCTAAGGCCTTTATGGAGCATCGGGAACGACAATGGGCATCCCGGGCAGCGAATACAAGGCCTCACCCTTCATCTGTATATCTCCCTGGAGATCTGGTGTTCTATCAGCGCCTACGACACCCAGCAGACATGGTGTCTAATCGGCTGGTGGACAGGCCGAGAATGAGAACCTCCAGGTGGTTTGGACCGGCAAGGGTGCTAGCCGCCGAGACAAAAGGAGAACCTGGAGACCGAAAACCGTCCGCCCATGTCTGGATCATTGCGTCTGGGAGGCTGAAGAAAGCTCATGTGTCTCAGTTGAGACACGCAAGCGAGACGGAGAAGATGATTGCAGAATCATCTGAGACTGTAGTCTACCCGTGGACGCTGACGAGTCTCTCGGCAACGATGAATCGAGGAGCCTACGAGGACCTCACTGTTCCTCCTCTACCTCATCACCGAGTTCTTCCGACCGGCGATGATCGAGCTCCTGGCGAAGAACCTCCCCCTGTCCCCGGAGATCCTGAACTACTTCCGGATACCGAAGTTGCTGGCGATGGTCATGGAGAGCCTTCAGAAGAGGAGCTCCTTCCTGACCGGAGGGTAGAGAATCTGAAGCGAGCAGCCCCGGAGCCGAATGTGGGAGACGAGGAGCTTCTTCGAGATGAAGACGCGTTGGATTTGGATAGACTCCTCAACGACCCGGATTACGTGCCCCTGGGTCCCATACCTCCTGCTCCTCCTCACACCTCAAGACCCAGTTCTAGTTTTCAAGAGCAGCGAGCACAACATGAACTACAAGACCGGCCTCTGCACGTCCTTCGTCAAGGCGAAGGTCAAACCTTCTGGGCTGCGCCGCAAGAGGAACGACTCTATGCGGTTACCATCCCGGCACCGGAGAATGCAGCAGAGTGGAAGAAGATGGTGAAGAACCCATCTAAGTTCGTTGCGAAGACGATGCAGAAGGGTGTGGAGGTAACCTGGGGTCGGCTGTCTGATCGGCAGCGAGCGGCGATGCAGGAGGCAAAGAGCTTGGAAGTTCAGCAATGGCTGAAAACTAAGGTGGCCCGGAAGGTGAGTGAGCATGTTGATCCTCAATCGCTCATCGGAATGAGATGGGTGCTGACGTTCAAAGCAGCTGAACCAGATGCCCAGGGACGAGAACAAGTCAAGGCGAAGGCGAGGATTGTGGTGCTCGGCTACAGCGCACCGAGCTTGCTGGAGGAACCCACTACATCCCCAACGATGAGTCGGTTGAGCAGGCAGCTGATCCTCAACATGGCTTGCGCTAAGAAATGGCCGATTGGATCAGGTGATGTTAAAACAGCGTTCCTACAAGCCAGACCTGAGGAACGCACCCAGCGACTCCTCGCTCGACCTCTGCCGGAGCTTGCTGAAGCTTTGAAGCTGGGACCGCATGAGGCTGTGGAGTTGGCGGGTTCAGCTTATGGCTTAGCGCAGGCCCCACGAGAGTGGTTTGTTGATATTCAGAAGACGCTTCGCAGACTGGGAGCAAGGCAATGCCGCACCGATCCGTGTGTGTGGCGGATCTTCGACTCGTCAGGTCGGGTGTGTGGGATCATAGGATCCTATGTGGACGATTTTTTGTTCACTGGAGATCCGAGCTCAGCATCCTGGGCGCGCTTCCTGAAGTCCTTCGAGGAGGCCTACACCTGGTCTCCCTGGGAATGGGAGAGCTTTGATTTCTGCGGTTTGCGCCTCACTCAACATGGTGACAGCTCTGTCACCATTGACCACTCAGCCTTCTGCCGTGACCTGACTCAAATGCCAGCAGTGTCAGGACCATCCAGGCCGATGACGGATGGGGAACTCAGCCAGGCACGAGCTGTGCTGGGCAGTGTGCAATGGAGGGTCACCCAATCTGGACCCCAGCACGCCGCCAAGCTAGGCCACCTGCAAAGCCTTCTAGCCTCCAAAGACTCCGAGTGCATCAACCAGATCAACAAGTTGGTGCGAGAAGTGCAGAGCTCGCGCCATCTGGGAACTCATGTTCAGAACCTTGGCAACTGCGCAGCCGAGGACCTAGTGTTCACTGGCTGGAGCGATGCCTCGCTTGCGAATAGACCTGACCTTTCAAGCACAGGAGGATTTCTTATAGGACTGATGACGCCAACAGATGTGCTAGCAGGCCATGGGCGGGTCAACATGGTCTCATGGAGGTCACAGAAGTTGCCAAGGGTAGCCCGCAGCTCCCTTGCGGCAGAGAGCCAGGCTCTCTCTTTGGCCGAGCAAGAGATGATGTGGTGTCGCCTTACTTGGAGAGAACTCCTCGGGGACGAGATCGACTTGTCAAAGCCCTCCGAGTACACGATCAAGACCAAGGCCTACCTCATCATTGACGCCCGCGGGGTCTATGACGCTCTTCTGAAAGGCGCTGACTTTTCATCCGGCTTCAACCTAAGAGACAAGTACTCGGCCCTTGACCTGATGGGAGTGGCCGACCAACTGAAAGCTCAAGGCACCCTGTTGGAATGGTGTGACAGCGACCACCAGCTTGCCGACGGACTTACCAAGAGCAGCAAGCAAGACTCGCTGAAGAAGTTCCTTACAACGGGTACCTGGCGACTGAGGTTGCCCGGCGCTTTCATGTCAGCCCGGCGCCGTAGAGCTCTTGAAAACGAGCAAGCTGTCATTGCTCCTTGAAGCCTTTTTGGGGCATGTCGAAGGCAATGCCTTGAGAAGTAATTAAACCATGTCAGTTCAATCCGCATGTTGCTTGCTCACATGTACAGCCGGCTTCCCCGCAGGACGTCCTTTGGCCCTAAAGCTTTTGCTAGAGCGCTACGCCTGTAACACCGAAAACCATCGAGGTTTTTCTTTTGAGCCATAGGGCTGTGCTGTGTGCCAGACAGTGCACGCGTGTGGGACCGTGAAGGCCCAGGAAAAGAAGGAGTGCGACCTTTGTCTGTGTCAACGCTTCGTGGTTGAGCTTTCCCCGCGTCAGCTGTTGCCAACGTCCCACCGACGAAGCAAGCCAGAATGCAGCCCCTCTGAGCCCTCTGTATTGCCCCCTCCTTGCAAGCAGAAGGCGAGCCAGAAGACCTGCGCTTCGCTGTGCACTTCGGAGCTCTGCCTTGATGATGTTGCCGATACAGCACAGACCTGCGCTTCAGCAGGAGCCGCTTCGTCAACTCCGAGCTGGACCTTGCTGCCTCACCACAGGCAGAGCTCGACGATGGCAAGCTTCTACTCCTGCTTGTTTTTGGCCGCAGGCATGGTCTTCTTTCATATTGCAAAGGCCGGCGAGCCTTTGTTGGGGTGAGACTTGCAGCTCAAGACATTCGTGCACATCTGTATGCTTCGGGCAGTCCTGGACTGAAGGCTTCAAACGATTCCAACTACGGCCCTTGTCGAGAGCTAGCTGCTCAGGGAGGTTTTCGCGATGCATCGACCAGTTATTGAAACATGGCTGACGGACTCAAACCCTGTGCAGCCAAACTGCCGTCTTGAGAATGTATCAACACCTCCAGGCTGCGACGAGCTCTCTCGGGCGAGATGTGACGACTTTGCGATCTTCCGTGCCATTGGAGACGAGTGCCGGAACTTGCAGTCGGTTCCGAAACCTCGCAGATTGTTTCTCATTACTTTTGCTTGAGCGTGAGATTTTATTCTCGCGACTGACAAAGCTTTGTAAACGGCAGGTGCTCATACAGACTGCGTGGAGACGGCCAGCGCTCAAACAGATGCGAGAGACTGAATAGCACACTTTGTCACTTGCCCTTGCTCAAACCTTGGCTTTGCCTTGTTTCGGCCCCTGCAACAGATCTCGGCTCTCTTGCAGTCCAAGGTATTCGACCAGCCCACGCATCCCCAACAGTGCATAGCTTACCTTCTGCCCGAGTTGCAAAGTGAGATGCTGCCGAACACTTGCTGGACATGGCTACACATGCCTACACTCTGAGGCGACGGAGTTGGTTTCGCTTTTGCGCTCCTTCGCCGGAGTTACGTGCCGTCGGGGCCTCAAAAGCCTCGCACTCGCAATGATGTTGCCCATATGACTTCATAGAGAGTTGCTCAGACCTGGCCAGGTGTAGCCGCGTGATGCATCACATGCCATGCTCTGTGCGTTCCTTTATGTGAAGTGATCCGGCAAGGCCATCGACAGTTTTTGCAGATGATTGAGCACCTTGGTGGCAAGGAAGTTTGTAACGTGACGATGAGCGGGATTGCTTTCAGTGTTTCAGGCTAAAAGGTTCCCTGCTGCCACTCTTGCGATCTGCTGACCTTCTTCGGCTTGTAGTCGCCTGTGGGCAGCGCGGGGGCCGAGTCGCTTTCCCCACTTCGATTGTCCGCTACACGTGATGCTGTGGACCTTGGCAACTTGATGCTGCGAGAGCCGAAAGGGAAGTAATATCAGGATACTTCATCCCCCTGATCCCGTGCCACCGTTGCCTCATGTTGCCTCTTACTGTGATTTTTGCTCAAGATGCCAGTTTCACCCCACAGAGCGCGGGGAAATCGCGGATAGAGGTGGAATTCATCGTGTTTTTGGTAGGAGCACTGCACATGCAGTCAACAGCATAGAGATGATCGACACCTCCAGTTTAGACCTGAGAGCATCGAAGCGGGTCATGCATGTCGCTGATTTCCTTGAAGCTGCGAAAGCTTCCATCGAAGACGCGAAGGCCGCCAGTCCAAGCCTTGCGTTTGATTCTTGCCGCAGCCGCTGCAGGCATCAACCGGAGTTGGCAAGAAAGGCTTGACGGCTTATGCCCATGACCATTTCTACATGTGTGACTGTCGTGGGTGCATTTCGTCGAAAGAGCAGGTGGGAAGAAAAGGAAGTCCAAGAGACGCCGCTTGTCGCACAAGTTTTGGGCAACTGCGACTTGTTGCAAAGCCGAGTCTACTGTACCCGTGGCGATTGCCTTCTCGAATGGCCACCCACGAGGCAGCAGCAGTGGCGGTTCTTCCCTTCACACGTTGCCGGTGCTTGCCACCTGCACAGCCTTCAGAGAGTCCAGGCGCACCTCCCATCACTCGTTGCAAAGTGCTTCCGGAAACAACTGCAGGAGCGCCGCAGGTCGCTCCGCGCTCCTTGACCTCCAAATCTCAGGACATCTCCGGAAAACCAATGGACTGTTTCGCAGTCATCACAACTCGTCGCAGGCGTCCTTCAGCAGGCATGCGCACGACCAATGTGCACAGCACAGCAGGGCTTCCAAGAAGCTGCCAGGACGAGCAACTGCAGGAAGCAGCGAGGCTCATCGAGGTCAACGCTGGGCCCGGCGCCTGCGAGCAGGTTCAGTGCAGAAGGTAGGTGGGATTGAGTTCCTCTCCTTGTCAAGGTGCCAAGGCTCGACGCGATCCCAAGCTGTCTCCGGGTGGCTTGGACTGTTAAGGTGATTCAAACCAATAACAGCGACACCTGGTCAGACTAAATACGAGGAGTCGTGGTTCTGGATCTCCCCAACCCTACACGCGGGGCTTTAAGGTCTCAAGACAGAACCCCAAGACATGACTGACACATGTGCGCAGAGCAGGTCGGACATCAGGCGCTTGAGAGATTTGGGTTAGTTAGGGTGGCTGTTCTAATAGACAGACCGCCACAGGAATGTGGCCGTCGGAGATTGTCGGAATAACGCTCAGGACAGTGGATTCGAGCTCCCGCGTCTTCGGGTTGCAGTCTTCAATGCGTTTAGCCGGGTCGCGCCACATCCGGCAGCCAGTTGCCCTGAGCCGAGAGTGGGAGTGTTGTATGTGACGCAGACCGATCGTTCTGTTCGTGTGGACTGCAGTGCTGCAGGTTGCAAAGTTGCTTTGACGCAGACGCCATGGTTCTTCAGCCAGGCTGTTGCGTTCTTCAGTTTCGCATTGAACCTAAGCTCCCAGAACATCCCAGAACGCAAACTGAATACCTCCATCCGTCACGTTCATCGTGCAGAGGCCGTCTCGCGCTTTCTGCACATCGGATCGGCACGAAAGCAGCACGGGCATGGGAAGTGGCTAAGCCTCGTCCCCAAAGGGCCAAGAAAGTCTCCGTCCTCTCTGCCTTACTCATGTCAACATCGCAAGTGACGTTGCTCCGTGCTTCATCGCTGAAACAACATTTGTCGTAGGCCGCCGCATGCCGCAGCAGTGCAATGGACTGCGACCACCAGTTGGATCGCTTGCATCAGTTTGAAGTGGGTCCCGTATACTAAGGCATGTTCGCTCCTGTGCGGGTCGAGCTGCTGCAGGCCGTCGAACCGCGTCTGCTTTTAAACGAGCATGAAGCATTGATGGCGTACTGAGCTTGATGCCACCATATGGTGCGCGACGGCTGGTTGAAGGTGGAGGACATTTGGGAAGGACGGCTGCGCAGGTCGACCGGGCCGTACAGCAAGAGCCTCAGAGTTCCACCACGCCAACTCCCCCCCCCTAATTTTGTTTGTATCGCTCGGACCAGCAAAGATGGTGGCGGTGGCCCCGTCTTTCGCTCAGCATCAGGCCCTGGATTCGATGTTCTCCTGGTGCCGGGTGGGTCAGCCAAGGCTGGCTCCGGTAGCAACGAAACCTTAGACCCCCGGTCTTCGAGCCGTGACAAACGCAAGGCAGACTGGCGAACGTTGGGATCAGATGGTCGCGAGGCCATACATCGTTTCGTGCAGAGCGGAGCCTCGGCTCAAAGTCTCGAGCATGAGATCTGGCCCATTCTGGCCCGCATGCTGACTTGGGTAGAAATCCGCGAAGCAGTGCTATTGCCGCGTTTTCCGAGGTGGGGGCTACTGCGGCATCTGCGCTGGCGCCTTCCTTGCTCATCGCCTCAGGCCTGAACGGGACCTCGGGCTAGCCATCCTCAGAACCTCGAGATATAGATTCGCCGCCCTTTTCATTCGCTGCACTGTTGGAAGCTGGTACTTCCCTCTTGGAAAGGGAGATGAAGAGGAGACGCTGCGACGATAGCAGTTGTCAGTGAACGTGCCACCGGATCTTTGCACCGTTCACGAGATTGCACGAGGCTACTGGATGCGCTGAAGAAGACCGCACACGAAGGGTGGCCACACTGGTTTTGCTTGCAGCTTTGTGTGCGGCTGTTGTGCCTCCTTGCAGCACGACCTCGCCAGATCAGTGCGTCCGTTTGCAGCCAGAAACCAACGTAGCAAGACCCCCTTGCTGAGATCTCTCCCATCGTGCTGCATCTTTGTCAATCTCGGCTTCAACGCTGCATGCTAAACTAAATCTGTGCGTTGTTCCCCACTTACCGCCAGGAAGGAAAGGACGCTGAGCGAAGGAGAATCAGGCACTTGTTGCCTTCGGAGCGGCACTGTCGAGTGTGAAGATCACAATTGGCTTCGGTATATCCTGGTATTCATGTATTCGTAGCAGGTGACGAGCTCGACGAGCCACAAGTAGCTCCACACGTTCCACAAGCGAAGGCCAAAGCGGAGCACGCGCTACGATCCGGTGACTGTGTCTCACGTGCCAGTGTGAGCATGGAAAAGTTTTCAGGCGAGCCGCGATCCGTTTATGGTAAATGTGCACTTTACCAAGAGAGGCAAGAGGCTATTGTGACTCCGAGTGAATTAGCAGACTTTTGTCGGAAGTTGCAATGCATAAGTACACTGCATGCCTGGATGCACGATGCAAAATACTACAACGAGGGAGGGTGCGCAATTCTTAGTGGAATGCTTGGCCTCTGCATACTAATGCGACGAAGATTTTCGACACGTGTGGGCATGGCGACCGCTGCGATGATTTGAAAGCGGTGAGCATCATGCGCCTGCTGTTCTGCAACTGCCACACATACCACTCGAACTTCACCCATCCACAGTCGCTAGTTAGCTGCGGAGCAAACATATCAACCTGGAATACAGGCACAGAGAATCTCAAAAGACGTGCAGTATTTTCCTCCACCTACCTACCCTCTGGCAGAGGGGCAGACGAGCAGTGATCAGCCTGGTCGAGATGTGCTGCAATTTTGCCCAATTTGCACATCCGTACTTGGCTGAAGGCTTTGTGGAATGTTGCTTGTGTCTCAGCTCAGGTGGACCGAAGGTTCGGGGCCTCCAAGTGGCGAAGACGAGCTGCACAACGGGACTGTTCGTATCTTGAAGCAAGACAAACTGAAGCCATGATAGCATGAGACGCATGCCATGGCATGTGGCCTCAGTGCGGGCAGTATTGATCAGGTATGCGCTACCACAACGGGCCTTTGCTGAGAGTCCTAAAGGCGACTCGCGGGTGCAGCATGGTGTCGAGCTTGTCATCAAGCACAGAATTTGTTGCAACTGTGCGATAGTAGAGTCGCTACGTACCATGTCGCATCAGTTGCGCTGCTTCTGCTCAAAAAGTTTTGCCTGAGTTCGTGCAGCATCTAGACGTCAAATCGAATGGAAGGCGTCTCCGGCGGAAGCGCTATGCAGCATGACGAGCGACGGCACAGCAGCCTTGCCACGCAGACTGCAATAGGGAGCATTGAGCCAAACTCAAAGCTAGGCGGTGCATCTGCCTGAAAATTGCAAGCGAGGAAAGGATGTGCAGCAGTGGCAAGAAGCTTGGAAGACGACTGCTGCAGCTACCTTCATGCTTGTCTGTGAACCGTTAGCCCTTGCTTAAGCAGACTTGCTTGCTCATTTTTCCAGCGATGCTGTGAGCCAGTGGGCAACTGGCACGTGAGGTCATGCAAAACTCTGGTGGCGGACGCGTGCTCGCGATTTCGCCACACCCAGAGTCGACGCTACTGTCCTTGCAAAGTCAGTATGTTGTTTTGGAAAGAAAAAGTGTAGAGCGGCGTCACCACCGCCCTCCGTCGCAAGTTCCGGCACATGCGGGGCTACCAGTAACAGAGCTAAGGCAGGATGGGCTGCTTGTGCCACAGCCTGGCAAAGAGCGATTGCGCCGCGTGTGGGACCGAGCTTTAGGTGGGGTTGAGTTGGTCTAAGTTGGACTTCCTAGGCCCGCGATTAAGAGATCCGCCACCCTCAACCCCACCCCTAGCGCCCATAGACATCATCTAATGATTGTGCATTGCCATATCGTGAGGTATCAGCGCAGGGGTTGCGCTGCAGAAGTGCAGAGAGATGTCTCGAAGCGGATCGTAGGATCGGAGAGCCTTGGAGCTTCAAAGCGAAGCGAATGTAGCAGCAACAGCGGCCTTCGACTGGCGAATCGTTTGAAGCCGAATGTGCGTCCTGGGCTTCGTGACGTTTTGCTTTGGCATGCTTCGGCATCAGCGCAGCCATGCCATAATCACCATTCCTACCGTCAGCGTCCATTTGGGAAAAGCAGAGCCCATGAATTGCTGACGCTATCGCCGAGTCGCCGAGGTTCTTCAACGAGCCGTGCTTCTTGCGGCCGCCGGGCCAGCCGCGCATAGCTGCACGGCTACGATGCCTGACCATGCTGCACGTGCACGGCCTGCTAGTTAGGCCTCTTGTTCCAGTGTCTTGGGAATGTCGAGGTTGGCTTGAGGCGGAACTGCACATTCCGGCAAAATGCTGACCGGTGGATGAAGCCATTCGACCTCGGTTGTCAGCCTGCGCAGTTGGGACGGTGCGTCCACGAATATGTCTGTCTGACCACGGCGAGTACCGGGTGCTGTGCAGCACGTCTGAGAATTCCGCAGATGATGAGAACTTCCTACTTCCCCGCCCCAAGTTGCCAAGGGGATCTTGCACAGCAGTGATGCGAAGACATGTAGGAAGCTCGGGTTAAGTCGGAGGAACTCCGATTGGCCAGCAGAAAGAGCATGCGTTCGGGTGACCGCAGGAATGGCACTTGTGGTGTTTTGAGTCATTTGCAGCTGCGCTCCTGGTGAGGTGAGCGCAAGTTCGATTATGAGCGAGCTCCCAGTAGGCTCCTCTCGACGATTCTTTTGTGGCGTGCTGCTACATGGCAAAGCCAGCAGCACTGCCACAATTAAATTAAAGCAGCAGCATGCTGACATATCCACTGCGTATGCCATTTGCCTGTCTATGCCAGCAAGTGATGCGCAAAGAGGACTACTGCCAGTAACGTTACGAAGCATTGCAAGTACGGTCACCTGCATGGTCTCGCATCTTATCAGAAGGGGTACTCAAGAGCCTGCACCACCCGAGGTTGCGTACTGCTCACGTCATCGTGCAAGCTGCAACCGCAGCCCTCATGGAAAGGCAGCTGCCGAAGATGTTGTCTCCTAGTGTCCTAGTATGCCGGGAGCCCAGTCTGCGCCGAGGCGTTACATCCTCTTGTGCCCGCCACTGGAGCTGTTGCAAACGGTCGACAGCTCGGGCGGTGCAGGCCAGTACTGCAGCAGCGGGAGCCCAGTGCTCTTATGCGCGTGCTTGGCACCTCGGAACAGTGCCGTGAGGTCCATGCCACCGTCCGTTTGCTGCTGCTGCCCACTGCAGATAGTAGGCCTTCGAGCGGAGATGTTAGTCGTAGTGTCTGTCGTGACCGAAGGACTCGTCGGTAATGCTCCAGGGTGCAATGTCCGTGTTGAAGCCTCACTTATGTCATGATCTGAAGTTCAGCAAGATTCTCACGAAGCTCTTCTCGGGCAGATTCTGGACTGACATCTTTTCGCCTTGCCTCGCGTGGGCACTGACAGCATTTCGCGGGCGAGACCTGGTGCGCCCCATGGCTGACTGTCTTCTGCAGATAATGCAAGGTGGGATGGCTCGTGTGGTCGCTGCTATCTTCCCTTCATGGCAGGTCACTACCTTGGCCGCCTGTGTGGCCTTTCAGCGTTTTCATGCGGCCCAGCACATTGCTGCTGCTCTATGTCAGGCCGCTGCATTTGAGGCATCGTCATGTAGTGTATTGCGCAAGGTGCTTGCATGGTTTTGTGATGTTTTGTGGTTCGAGTGACCTCATTTCATCAGAATCCACAACATCGGATATGCGCCATGTGGTGCGAAAGCCCAGGTGCTGAACCAGCTACTGCGAAGAGAGACATTTGCGTGTGGGCTGGGAGCCTGGCGGTTCTGGCAGGCCAGACTCGTGACATCTCGTGACCAATCGGCGTGACATGGCTGGACCAAAGCAGGAATCTCAAGAGGACTCTGGAGATTCGAAGACTGCTGGGGGCAGGTTTTCGTCATCTCAGAGGTCAACTACTTGAAGCCAGCGCGGCTTCTTTTGCCGAGGCGAGCAGCAGTGTTCCGATCCAACGAATGCAGCAGCTGAGCATGCGCAGATTGCACTGCGGCCTCTCGGGCTTGCTCCATGACGGAACAGATCGCCTGAGGCTTGCACGGCGTATGCGGGTTGCCCGGACCTTACGTCGCCGAAGGACCTGTGGTATTGAACTCCCGAAATGGCGGGCCTCGTACTGTAAACCTGGCAGGCAGACAGCGCTTTGGGAGACCGTAGAAGCCCCGACCAAAGCAACAACAGCAGCAAACAAGTACAACCACACCATGAAACCCACAGAACCCACAAAGCGCCAACAACCACGACGATGACGACAACAACAATAACAACAACAAGAAGAACAACAAACACTACGAAAACAAACTCAGCAAGCACAACCGCCACGGCTATCACAACCACAACCACAGCCCCACCACAGCCCCACCACTGCCACATTCACGGCAAAGATAGTAAGGATTACAATTCAACCAAGAGGATGTAGGCAAGGAAATGCTCTTGCGGGAGCTACCTTGTAGAATCTGCAGACAGGCCAGCATGCAGGCTCGCAAACACTTACTACCAAAAGCGCGACTATGCAGGTGCGTCGTCGTCGTCAGTTCTGCTGCTTCTGCGTCGGGCGCTGCGGCTGCTGCTGCTGCTGGTCCTCGTGGGCGTTTCGTTGCTGTTTGTCTAGCTGTGTTGCTACAGAAAATGTCAGCCCCAAAGGCCCGTCTCCTTTGTACGTGAGGTTTGGAAGAGTCCGAGGCGCGTCAGTTGCTTACCTTTGCCTTGGCAGCAGGCCTGCAAGGTGCGCTGGCAACGGACCTGTCGTGTCAGTTTGGAAGACGCTGTGAAACGGTGTAAAAGTTTCCTCGTTCTTCGACATGACATGCTGAGATGCTTTTGTAACCTCTTCTAAGATCAAGTTGATGCCTGCGTGTTGCGCTAGCTACCTCAGCAAAACCAAGCTTTTTGGCACTGTCATCAGGAGTATATGTCACGTACCCAAGATTGGATGAGCTGACGGACGCGATCCAGGCTTCTTCCTCAGCTGTGGGCTATCAGCCAAGCAAGGACCGCATCTTGAGCATTGCGCCGGCCCCAGACAGCCTTGTGAGAAGCAGGTGGAGCATCCCAAATCAGCCAGACAGACCAAATCCAGGCAGGAATCTGAATTATTTGCCCTCTCGCCATTGGCAACGCCACGTGCCACGTGCTCCTTTGACTACGAACAGCAGGATGCACGAGGAGGTCTTGCAGAGCCTTCTGATCGCCCCGACCTCGAATGAACTGGAAAGTGGGCCGCCAGTGTGCGAAGGTGATGCCCTAAACCCTTCCTTCCTGGACTCACAGGTCGTGAGTGGCCCAGCGTCGCCACTCGTATGCCGACCTTCATTGTCAGCAGAGGAGCTGCGCATAGTGATGACATGAACAGGTGCGCCGTGCGGTCGTAGCATATTGTGTCTCAATGCTTCCCGGAGGAACCATGCGTGATCTACTCGATAGATATTGCAGTGCGCCGCCCGCCGTCGCGCGCTGTAAAAGATGCGGCGAGCCTTTTTATCATTACCAGGCCATGGGCCCTGTAGGCCCCGTAGCGCACTTCACTCTGACTGCCCACCCCAGATCTGTTTTTTCAGAACACGTCTGCGCAGAAAGCCTGGCTGCGATAACAGCGTGAACAGCAAATCTCGGGGTGCAGACAAAGACATGGCTTCGGGCAGAAAGCATTTCAGCAGAAAGCAAGTGGTTCTACTCGAAAAGCCGTCGCGGACGGTGTGTCTTCGGAGTTGCTACAGCGGCTGTGAGCACAGGCTTCTAGGGCATCTACAGTAAGCTTTGACATTTCCGGTGTCACAGACAGCCAAGAAAGCAACACGATTCTCTCAAGCCGAAAACTGTCGAATGCCGCTGCGTTGTTGGCTCAGTGTGGGCAAAGGGGCTGAAATTGCCCAAAGAATAGGAGAGTGAATCTGAGAGCTTCAGCACACAAGAAGACATGCCACAGAGCGGAGCTACTAAGTGATTGTAGACTTTTCGTGTTGCCATGCCCGGCTTTGTGCCCGTCCCTTGCGATGAGCACTTTGAGGTGGCTGGGAGCTCAATGCAGCTTTCCCAGTCAGTTGGATGGATGCCAGGGCCTGGCTTCACGGAGCGGGACAAATACTTTTGGTGGAAGAGACTGCACTGTCCACTCTTTGTAGTGTTAGTTTTGGCGTGCACGGTGGCTCGGCTAGCTGGTCGAACGGACAAGACTGCCGAGCCAGAAGAGCGGGCTTCTTCTGATGCGATTCTGCTGGTGGGAGCTGGTTCCTGCCCCGCCAATTGTGGAGAGTCTGTTGCATGCACAGCAGGTGCTTCAAAACCCGTCATTCCGGCAAGGGACTGTCCATTTTTCGCAGTTGGTGGGCCCAGCCCCGGTATGACTTCAGCCGTGATGGATTTGCAAGGCTGTAATTTTGCACCCATGGATGAGTTTAACACTTCCTGGACAGTGAACGTCTTTCAAGCACCTGGATCATATTTCTATGAAGTGCAAGTTGGTGTTCCCTTTCTTCCGTTCGTCATTGAAAATGGCTTCGTGGACTTTACCACGCCGACAGACTTCAATGTGCTGAATGTTAACGATGCTTTGCCAAACACCGACAATCCGAAGCTCGAAATTACATCCTTGGCTTTTGCCAATGACACGGTCTTGTTCTTTCGGAACAGCAATGAAAGTCCACTGTTCTTGTTGCAGCTGTTGGAGGTCCTTCCAGTCACTCCTCTGCGTCGACTTGCAGAAGCCTTTTTCGAATGCCCTGGTGGATGCGTGATCTCAAGCCTTTACGTCAACGATAATTTCTGCGACTGCCCGGAAACTTGTCAGGATGAAGATTCCTGGACTTGTGCCACCTGTGGCGCGCCCCCACCATCACCGCCTACGGCGCCACCAGATACCGAAAGCCAGGCCCGAAGCAGGGCTGTGACAAGCATGTAGCGACATGACACCTTCACGATCACCACTGGCTGGTATGAAATCGGTTTGCCAATGATTGAACTAGTTTATGCTCTGAGGCAGTTTTAAGTTGCAACTTGTAGCAACAGATGATAGGTTACTCTTGCACTAATTCCCAAAACTCATCAGCCCCGTGGGGCTCCAACGAGCGTTGCAAGAATCCTTCATCAAACCACCGCATCTGTCAGTACGCGTGGACCCCGAAACTGGTGGTAAGCATCTGTAGAGCCACTGGAGCGCACCCTGCTTGTAAACGTCCGCGAACTTTCAAGTACCTGAACATGATAAGGAGCCCGAGAATTCCAGGGTAGGAGTTACGGGGTGGGGATGGGGGTTTGGGTTTAAATGGTTCAGGAAGAATAGCTGTTTCTGTAGAGGATTTTTTGACTGTCTTGGAATCAAGCGCATCTCCGCGCGACCTAGAACATACCCGCCATCAATGCTGCGGATATGCGCTGTAGAGGCTTTTGGCGCCAAGAATGTTTTGTTGATCTTCTGCTTCGGCTCCCATGAGCCGTACAAAGTCAGCAGGAACAAGACACCCAGCTTTTCAATGTACATCCTTGGCTTTATTGATCAATATCTATTTGAACCAGGCTTCAACTCATGGCATGGAGCCGGAAATCTTCAGCCCGACAGTCCCAGCGCCTGAAAGCCTTCTGCCATGACGCAGAGTAGACATGCAGTTGAATGTGCCAGGCTTTGAAGAAGGCGTCCATTGGAGTCGGTGTTGGCATCGGCGTGGGCGGCGGCCTTGCCCTTGGCCTCGGTCTAGGGATCGGGCTCGGGACGGGCGTTGGGACCGGTGCTGGTGCGGGGACGGGCTCCGCGGCCTCAGCTGCAGCAGCAGCAGTTTCAGCTGTTGCTGCCTTCAGCGCAGAGGGCTCGCTGAAGCTCAAAGTGGAGAATTCGCAGATACTGGAGACGGAAGCCTTCACCAATGCGATCAAGCGCTCGATTGCTCGAATAGCCGGGAGCTTCTTTCTTACTTTCTTTCTTTCTTGCTGATATAATCTCTGCATTTTGGGGCCGAAGGATTCGGCCTTGTCTCGCGAGGCACTTGTAGCATCTTAGACCTAGCGCTTCCCGCTCTGAGGGTGTTGTGCTCTGTGGTGCAGGAGCTCAGTGATTCCAGCGATGGTGGAGCTCATCATCGGCTGTGCGGCTGCCAGCCGGAGACTGGCTTCCCTCTTCCGTCGGCTGGCGGAGACCGTGGACGTTTGCTTCAAGATTGGTGTGGAACAAGAGGACTTAGCAGAGGAGGTTTGCGACACTTTGGCGGGATACAATGCAGCCACTGTTGCTACGGTGATTTCTTCAGAAATCCTCGATTCCGGCATTGATCCAGGGCAAGTCAGCGTGATAGGCTATGAGCCGAACCCAAATCCGCGGGCCAACAACCCGAATGCACCGAGTGATCCGATCGACACTCCGTTTGTCCCTGGCACGGGCGGAATCAACTTGGGATAAGCGCTCCAAAGGAGAGGCTTCTCCAACCTCGCGACACAAAACGGGTCGAGCTTCCGTGAAGGCTAAAATCCTTCAGATTCGTTTCCTCGGGTGAAGAGGGAATGGCATGCGGGCTTTGAACAAATGGGCATTGATCATGCACTGGGGACCCACATCAAACAGAGTCATGAGAAGAAGTCGCTCGAGGTTAGCTGCATTCATCGATGCTGCAGCTGCTCCTGCTGGCGCATTTACTGTAAGAAGGGAGCGCCGAAACGTCCAGAAGTCCTGCTCAGCTTCCTTTCCATAAAGAACCGGCCCAGTCGTGTTGTTTCATGTCGAGCAAGACTGACTTTTCGGTTCTTGTTCAGTCTCACGTAAGCCCGTGTTTCCCAAGGCAGCTCCCCGAGTCGCAAGAAGCACAGACACGCATTTATATACGTTTAGCCTCTTAGAGGATGTCCGGCACGTGGTTGAAATGGCTTGCTGTCTTCACCGGCTGGCAGAGCGGAGCTCAGCGGAGCTCAGAGGGCGGCCTCGAGGTTGATTTTTCATTTTTACGTCGCCTGCATCTCGGGGTACTGCCGAGGTGCCACACTGCCGTATTCCAGGAGTTCGCGAAGGAGGTGTCGCTTGCATCCAAGGGGCCGGTCGTGGGGTTCGGAGTGTATGGTTGGAATCTAGTAGACCTTCAGGTAGCGGAGTCAGATGCAGTCAGCATGCTTTCTTGTACTCACTATGCGCCAGATTAGACACTCACATAAGTTGTGATCTGTTGCTTCCGGATAGCCTATGACATGTCTTTGGTCACGACAGTGGCATACAGAATTCGCCTTTGGTTCTCATGCGTTGCACTCCCGGCAAGTGGCTAGCTGCTATTGCAGACCGTCGTGACAACTGGAAGAAGAACCGTTTTGGACGTCGAGCCTTGTGCTTCAGCTTTCGCAGGCAGAGGCTCTCGAGGCCCTCAAGAAAGACAAGGCGGTTTCAGGGAGAAAATGGCTCCGTTTAGCCTTTGCACCCAGATGTCTTTGGCTGCCCCTTCATTCCCAGCATCATGATTTGCACTTGCTTCATTACTTTGGGACCGAATGGTGCATGGTCCTTGCAGTGGAACCGCAGCAAACTGCTGCCGCGTCTTTCCTTGTGTCGACCTGGCTTGTGAGGCCTTGGCGTCGAAGGTTGAGAATGCGGAAGTGTCACAGCTCATTCGAAATGGCTCTGCTGCCTTGTTCTTTCGGGTTAAGGGGTGTTTGGGAGGCTGTGCAATACCGGCAATACCTTTTCAGAGTAGCCGAGCCAGGGTGGTGGCTGCTCTGCCGCGAGCTCGTCCTGACCTCGCACGGCCTCGCTGGCTTCGTCAGGGCCCAAGACGCAGCTTTCGTCCGACGGGTCGGAGCTTCCCTTTCTAGCAATGGGAGCCCCATCTGAACGAAGGATTCCGGGACTCCCTGATGGATAATTTTGTTGCTCATTTTTGAAAGTATTGCTTGAAGTTCAGTCTTCCATTGGCTCAGGGCAGCCTGGAGAAAGCTGTGCGCCAAGAAGTGACGCAGCTCAAACTGTATCGGGCCCGGTCGTCGTGCCACTCTCCCCCAAAGCTGCTGCTTGATGGTTTCTGAGGAATGCAGATGACCTCCTTCTCTCATTGAGTCCGCAAGACGACAGTCGTCAGGGCCGCAGCCAAATCCAATTTGCCAGCATATTTTTCCGTAAACAGCAGGCCCAGCCTGGGCGGCGCTTCATCGGTTCACGTATGCGTCCGAGGTATCGGAGTGGTCCGCTGTGCGACGCAGTGGGCACAGAATCCTGGAAGCGGAAGCCTAGTGGCTCTAGGTGATGACTCGCAACTCGAGGGCTGAATGTGATCGGGCGTTGGGAGAAGAAACGCCAAGGAACAGCTCGGCCATCTTCCTCAGCATCAAGTTTGCCCATCGTTGGTCCTCACCTGGTGCATTGAAGGTATCCTAAAGAGATGTGCACGCGCTTTGCTGGCTGGGCGCCTCGCATTGTTTCATGTGAGATTGCGTCAGGTCCAGGACGAAAAGATTGAGGTGTCCCCATGCTGCTTCAACTTCACGGCTTCGGGAGATCACTCCCAGCTCAAGAAGCGCTACGCGCCACAGCCTTGCAGCACTTCCATGAGAGTGTGCAGCAATGGTACGATGCAAGCTTGAGGCTGGACTTGGCTTTTTACGGAGAGGTCGGCTGGACACTCGGGAGTCGTCGTTCTGTTGCTCGTTGGTGGCTGCAGTTTGAGTCTCTCCTTGAGCCTAGCGAGAGACCTCAGATCCGGATCACTGGTCATGGCAGCTTGCGTCAGCGGGTCGAATGACTACTGAGCGTCTTGGCCATAACTTTGGCTGCTAGAAGCGGCAAGATTTCGAGCTGTTCTTGTTTGTGCCCGACTAGCAAACTGCTGGATGGTATAATCGTCGTAACCAAATTGGTTTATCCACGCAAGTTGAGATATAGCTGGGGTGTTGCAAATTACAGACGTGATGTTGCCGTCTGTGAGATACAGAGAACTTCAACCAACAAGCCCGGCATGGCCAGGATTCGCAAGCGAACAAGAGCGAATTGGCCAAGACTGCTTGAATCCAAAAGTGCCTCGGTTTCTGCTCGGTTTGCAGCCGCGTGCTTGGCCCATCTAGTTCCTACAAGCAGCAGCGGCTTGATCGTATCCATGTGGAACTTATTCCAGACAGTCAAAGAGCGCTACCTCCACGCTTGCGAGGCAAGCCAGGCAACCTGCAGCAATGGGATTCCATGCAGGAGTCTGCAGCCGCTTGCCCCTTTCATTTCAAGATGAGCCCCGTCCCACCTCCGGATTTCTACCTTTTGACTACACGAATCATTTGCACCTCCAAGTCAGGCAGTCAGAGAGCATAGGCAGCTTGTTTGCATATGCCTTAGGCATGGCATTGTCCATCACCTCGTCTTGAAACTCTTCGGCAGGAACGTTGGAAAAGCGAGCTGAAGGAGTTTGATCGGCAGCATAAGGCTGGGCGCAGTGCAATTGCAGACAACTTGTCGCGCCGGCAGTGTCAGGCCGCTGCCAAAGACGCGGAGAGCACTGAAGGGGTCGAGGCCGCAGAGGAGTGCTCGGATGTTCTGCATGGCGTTGGACTATCCTTCGATTCTTATTCAAAAGCGGCCTCCATGATTAGGGCAGAAGCGCTGCATGCCGCAAATTATCAACATACGGTGTTGATACCGCTTCGAGCCCTGCCGAGCTGAATTTGGCAGGAAGAAATCCACTCCACCGGCAGGACAGGCTTCACTCCCGAGAAAACTTGCAATGTGCAAGCCCGTCAGGAAGAAATGCGTTGATAGTCGTGCTTCCCCCTTCTCAAGCGCTGGCCTCGTTACGAGGTGCGGTCAGGTGCAATGTCAAAGTTTGCTATGTGCGAGCATTGTCCCTCTTCTTCGTCAGGCTGTGTGAGGCTTATTGGCCGGTGAGGACGGCGCCGTGCTAGCAAGAATGCAAGTCTGTGCATCTTGAGATTTCAGTATCTGAAGAGGATGGAGACAAAAAAGAAGGGCAAATCCTCCACCTGGTTGGTGCTCTTCCACTCTCCGTCGGTGCCTTGTGAGTCAGTCGCACAATTCGCGTGCTTGACGGTCTAAGCACGGGCAGCCGACTAGCATGCGATCCTCCTGATGCTATCCCGCCCCAGGTCGGAGATGAAGTGCTACGACCGCGGTGATGAGTGCCAACGAGTTAAAGATCGCTGGGAAGCAGTCGGCCGAAAGGTGTCTGGCCTTTAATAGATTGTTGAGTGAAGAAACACACGTCATGTCAGAGAACGAGCTGCATTCCGCTCGCAACTCACTTCTTACTGCCAGCCGGCAGAGTTCCAATTCACTCGACTTGCCTCATGAGCTTCGAAGTGTCACAGGTGGAGCAGGTCAGTGAGGCACCTGTCAGAGCGATTCATCGGCTGGTCTGTGCTGTGCCATGCTGTGCCTATCGAACAGGCTTTGGTCGGTGCTGTGGACTGCGATCGGCATGTGACGGGCTTGGTGACCAACTGATTTCAGGAGCTCGGTCAGCACCTCTGTCCTGGTTCAGGCAGACCTCTGCCAAAAGGAGAAGGCTGTGATGTAGTCCGCGTAGTTGATTTCTCTTGACGAGTGACTAGGTGGGGACATTGCCATTCGTTCGACGTTATCGCAACGGCAAGAAGAAGACATACTACGGAGAGCAACTGCCTCAGTACTCTCGTGGCGCAGTGCATGAGGAAGCTGAACAGGCTGTAGCCTGTGCATCCAGCCATCTGACGGCAGGTGGGACATCGACTCGATCATGAAGATTGTCGCGGATTGACCGTGCTCTTTGTGTCGCTGTTTACGACGAGCCTTCAATCTCACAGGAACGACACCACCTCTTCGGCAGCTAAAGCGGGTCAGTGCTGAGCCTGGCAGGTCACCCACAGAAGCGTTTCGCGCTTGCGACCAAAGCTGCCATCAGCTCAACGTGACACTTGTGAGTATACAGTTCATGTGTGAATGACAATTTCTGCAACGCGACCAACGCCAACACATGGCCGGAATTCCGAAAGTGTCCCTCCCAAGTTCTGCAATGTGAAACCGTGGCTAACCCTGAAAAGATATGAATGGCAAACTATCGACAAGTACTTTCACATGTAGTGTCAACAAGCAAGCATGTACTGAGGTCCACCTGTGTCCACCCCCTCGTCCGCTTCGTCTTGCTGATCGCCAAATACTCAACTGCACGCGCCAGGTGCAGACGAAACAATTGCATCAATATATCACATAACCATATCTGTCGAAATTCACCGCGACACAAGCAGAACAGCTAGTTTTCAATTCAAGATTGGTCTGAAGATATGACAGATTCTTTGCTCCATTCATTTTCTTATTCAACTGTTTGCTGCTAGATCCCACAGTAGATGAGAGGAATTACAGGACGCAGATTCTTAAAACGACTTGAATTGGGAATACTTTGTTTTATTTCTTTAATTCGAACTTATGTGTGAGCATCCGAATAATGAGAAGCGGCTTATGCCTGTTTGAGGGCATACAACCCGGCTTCGAGACTTAAAACATAATTCTCTAATGAAGTGGTGTCGTGCTGGTCGCCTCCGCTTTTTTGTGCGCGCTCTTGGCCCCTATAATCTCGTCTTTTGGCGTGCTTCTTTTTGAAAGCCTTTTACGTGCCTGTCTCGCGGTACCAAATTTGGGAAATTGTAGTACCGGGAGCACTTTTTCCAGCACTAATTGAAATTGTGGAATGTTAGTAGCTTTAGGGGGACATGCTCCCGGTAATAAAATTTCCGAAATTTTGGATAGGCATGCCCGCGGTCATGGACATGCTCGCGGTAATAAAGTTTCCGTTATTTTAGTATCGTGAGCTCTAGTGCCGTGTATTCTGAATGTAGGTGTCTCTCTGTGTATTTGTATTTGCGTGGGGGCGTATATCTATTTTATTATAATCGGGAAATAATATTATCATATTGAATTAAAATAAAATTCGTTGAATTCTATATTTCGCTCTTGAATAAGATATAAATCTCTTTTTCTCTATAGATTCTTTTGGCTAATTCTATAATTTTATTCCGGTGAAGTATTTCTTCTGCTAGATAGATTAGAAAAAATTTTTTATTAAATATTCTGTGTCTTCTAAGATGGTCTAGTTAAATATGATGAATCTTTAAATTTATATCTCATAAAATATAATTTGGTCGATTATCGATTTTCAAATTCGTGTTGCTCTTGGAAAAGCATTGATTATTATAATATCAATATCTGCAGACCCGTCTTGTGTCATTATCTATATAAAAAATATAAGTATATATATATATAGATAAATAGATAGATAGATAGACTGCTCTTGTAATATAAGCTTCGTGCCTATATTTAAGAATCTCGGAAATTAACTATTTGGACCGTACATTTCATAAATTGCAATTTATCCGATTATCGGTCCCCATATTCATATTGCTCCTAGAAAGGTATTTACCATTAAAAAAGCTATCTCTATAGATCCGTCCTGCGCCAAATATATCTATATGAATATATACAAATAGATAGATAGAGTATTCTTATAATAGAAGCTTCGTATCTTTATTCAAGCATCTCGGAAGCTATCTATATGAAATATTTTATAGATTATTATAACTTGCCCGACTATCGGTTCCCAAATTCATACTATTCAGGGAAAGGCATTTATTTTTGAAAAATCTATTTCTATAGATTCGTCCTGTGCCGTATATATCTATATAAATATAAATAGATATAAGAATAAATATATATATATAGATAGATAGAGTGCTCTTATAATAGAAACTTCATATCTTTATTCAAGGATATCAGAAATTATCTATATCAAATATTTTATAAATTATAATTTGACCGACTATCGATTCTCATACTACTCATAGAAAATCATTTATTATTAAAAAATCTATTTCTATAGACCCGCCCTATATTATATATATCTATATGAATATATATAGATAGAGAGAATATTCTTGCAATAGAAATTTCATATCTTTATTTAAATGAATCGGAACCTATCTATATCTTATATTTCAGAAATTAAAATTTATCCGACTATCGATCCCTAATTTTATATTATATTAAGATAAAAAATCGGCGTATTTTATATATTTCTCTTGAATAAGACAAAAATTTCTTTTTCTCCATGAACTCCTCCTGCCAATCCTCCGTCCGGAATATTATAATAGTATAAACTTATTCTAATAGATTAATTCATCCACCAATCAGGCCATATAAGATGCAATTCCAAATACTTCGCGTCCTCCGCAAGATAACCTAGCCAAATACGATGAAATTTTAGTCTTGAAAATATTCATAGAAAAATATTTGTCAATAACAATCTATCTCTATTTATAAGAGAAATATCTTTATTCAAGCGTCTCATATATTAATTATATCATATATTTCAAGAAATTATATGAATATCACTCCCCAAATTTACGCGCACTCTATATTTACCTCTTGAATAAAATATATATTTTAAATAATTCCTCCGTAATCAAATCATGAAAAATATATTTCTAAATTTTCTATAACAATAAAATAGTCGAACCAAATATGACGAAACTTTAATCCTACAGAAAAATTAAATAGACAAATATTAAATTATAAATTACATCTATTCACAAATTTATATAAAATATTTTCTTATAGAAATTAATTTATCTAACTAATAAGTCATTATGGATATTTAATAAAAAAATATTATTATATAATTATTTTTCATATTAAATTTAAAATATGAAATCTATAAATACTATATATTTATATTAATTC